TTCAGTCTTTCCCAGCATCAGGGTCTTTTCCAGTGAGTCAGTTCTTTACATCAGGTGGCCAAAGTACTGGAGTTTCAACTTCAGCATCAGTCCTTCCAATGAATATTCAGGACTGATCTCCTTTAGGATAGACTGGTTTGATCTCCTAGCAGTCAATCAACAAGGGCCTACTATATAGCTCAGGGAACGCTACTCAATATTCTGTATTAATCTACATAGGAAAACAATCTTAAAAAGAATGGAGATAGTCAGCGATATATATGTATCTATATATCTAATTATCACTTAACTGTACACCTGAAACCAATAACATTGTGAATCAAATACACACCAATATAAAATAAAAATTAAATTTTAAAAATAGTGTTTTGGAATCCATTAAAAAAAGTTACAGTAAACTAATGGTTACAGAAACTGGAGTCAAACATTACTACAGGCAAAGCTTACTTTACTGTGCTTCACTTCACTGTACTTTGAAGATACTGCATTTTTTAAATCGAAGGTTTGTGGCAACCCTGAGTTGTCACATGATGGCTAGCATTTTTTAGCAATGAAGTGTTTTTAAATTGGGCTTCCTAGGTTCCACCTGCATTCAGGAGACCTAGGTTTGAGCCCTGGGTTGGGAAGAATCCCTGGAGAAGGAAATGGCAATCCACTCCAGTATTCTTTCTTGGGAAATCCTATGGACAGAGGAGCCTGGCGGGCTACAGTCTATAGGGTCACAAGACTCAGACATGACTTAGTGACTAAACCACCATTTTAAAATTAAGGTAGGTACATTGGTTTTTGAGGCAAATACTATTGCACACTTAACAGATTGCCTTTCCCTCCTCCAGGGGATCTTCCCAATCCAGGAATCAAACCCAGGTCTTCCACATTGTAGGTGGATTCTTTACCAGCTGAGCCACAAGGAAAGCCCGCAATACGCTGTAAACATAGTTTTATATGCACTGGGAAACCAAAAAATTTGCAAGATGATCTGGAACCAAATCCAGAATAGTTGACATGTGCCTGCATAAAGCCAAGGTCCGTCTGACCTCTTCAATTTGATTTCCTACCTCTGGTGGCCTGGCATTGGTGCCTTAGGTGAACGTGAAGTCGGTGCCCAGGGCCAAGCCAGCCTGTTGCACACCCAGGCCTCAGAAGAGCTGGCTTGGAGCAGGCTCTCTTTCAGAAGGAAGACACTGCCTGCAGTGTGGCCTTCCTTTTAGAGAATGACAGGTCAGAGCATTACCAGAAGAGCCAGCTCCACAACTGCACTGGCACACAGCTTTCTAGGGGTGAGGACTGCCAGACACTGTCCCCTCCAGCCTTCCCACTTCCCTCCTGCTTGGCTTGTTTGTCAAAATCAAAGCTTAAATGATTTGTCTCTTGGCTAGCCTGCAGATCTGCACTTGGCCTCCTTCTGGGGCTGTCAACCTGCTGACAGGCCACAGTCAATTAGAGTCATTGACCAGGGTTGGCCAAGCTTGCTGGAACAAAGGTGGCACTGATAAATGCAGACGGCTATTCAATCTAAGAGGCAGTAACGCCTGAATGAATCCCAAGCATGCTGATACAGGGCAGCACAAAGCCAAGTCTGATCTGCGGTGGACTTTGGCTTTCTAATAAATACTTTTTGCACGAGGTGAGGGACACGGGCCTCAGGCTGTGCCTGTAGTATAAACGTTTAGACCTGGAGCTCGAGCGGCAGTCAGGGTGGATGGGATTTGTAAGAATCAACTGTTTTTGTCACCCACTCGACAAATATGTACCTGTATATTCCTGCTGTGTCAGACTCCTTCCAGCCAAGGATGGAAAGAGAGCACCACCCAGGGGGGCATGTTCAAACCGAGAACAGACAAATATTTACAGCAGCCCTGCAGAAATTCACCAGGTGCCCACAAGCAGGTCTTTGCTTTTGCTGCACCTGCAGAATTATTAATCTTGCCTCTGGACCTGATCTGCTACAAAGTACTCTAGAGCCTGTCAGTGGTCTGATGGGAAGAGTGCTGGTTGCAGGGCGCAGAAGACATGGCTGGGGTCCCAGCTGCATCACGTGTCAGCCCGTGTCAATGTCCGTGCCAGTGTCCCTGCCTATCTGGATGCTCTCACAGGACCACGGGGTGAGGGCTAGGGAAGCATGGCATGCATGTCAGAGCTTCGCAAGCTCTCAGGCAGCATGTGCTCAATGGTAATGAGCAACACTGCTCTGCGGGATGAAAAAGGCAGCAGGTCCCTGTCCCCCAAGTTCCAAAACCAAAAAAAAGGAAGGAGGGCTTCCCTGGGTGGTTCACTGGTGGAGAATTTGCCTGCCAAGGTAGGAGATGTGGGTTTGATCCCTGGTCTGGGAGGACCCTACCTGCCAAAGAGTAACTAAGCACAACTACTGAGCCTGAGCTCGAGAGCCCTGGAGCTGCAGCTACTGAAGTCCATGTGCCCTAGAGCCTGTGCTCCGCAACAAGGGAAGCCGCCACAGTGAGAAGCTGGCACACAGAGCAGCCCCTGCTCCCAACTAGAGAAAAGCCTGTGCAGCAAAGACAACCCAGCGTAGACACAAATAAATAAAATTATTTCTTTCTCCTGTTTTAAAAAAAGGCAAAGGTGCTGGTTAAGCCAAGCGAAACAGGAAGATTTCTTCACTGCAGGACCTGCTCCGAATCTCCTGTGGTTACTCCGTCCTTCTCCAAGAATGCTATGCTATGTCGCTTCAGTCGTGTTTGACTCTTTGCAACCCCATGAACTTGTAACTCCAGGCTCCTATATCTATGGGATTCTCCAGGCAAAAGTACTGGAGTGGGTTGCTATGCCCTCCTGCAGGGGGTCTTCCCGACCCAGGGATCGAACCCATGTCTCATTTTGTCTCCTGAATTGGCAGGCAGGTTTTTTACCACTAGCGGTACCAAGGATGCTAAAGGAGACTAAAGTTACAGGTTTTTTCAGCTAAAAAGTCTCTCCCTCGAGTGGCAAGAGCTCCCGTCACAGCTGTGTCCTTCCTGTCTGTCTCTACATGGGACACCACATTCTCCTGTTTTGGCTTCTGCTTATTTTTTTACTTCCTCTTTTTTCCTGACCCCTCCTTGCTGGATGATCCTAGGATCCATGCTCAGTCCCACAAACACGCCTCCCTGGGTGATTTCATCCAGTCCCAGGCCTTTAAAAAAAAAACAACACAAGTTCCATCCATCAAGATAAAGTGGCTGGCTTATAAACAGGCACCTCTCCAGGGAGCTGCAGGGAAGACTTCTGTACAAAGGGAATCTACTGTAGCCACATGGGACCTATGGTTTCAACAGGATCTCAAATTCCCACCAAAAAACCCAGCCAAGACTGTCCTCTGCAACCAGGAAGCTAAGAATACTTTTAAATGATACAAAATAAATCAGGGCTTCCCTGGTGGTCCAGTGGCTAAGAGTCTGCCTTGCAATGCAAGGGAAACCGGTTAGATCCCTGGTGTGGGAAGATCCCACATGCCACAGGGCAAGTCCGTGCTCCACAATGACTAAGCCTGCGCTCTTTAGCCTGGGAGCTGCAATTAGTGAAGTTTCCGTGCTGGAGAGCTCGTTTTCTGCAAGAGCAGCCTCCTCAATGAGAAGCCCGTGCATTTCAACAAAGAGTAGCCCCTACTTGCCCCAACTAGAGAAAGCCCATGAGCAGCAACAAGGACCCAATGCAGCCAAAAAGAAATATTTAGAAAACAATAATAAAATAAATCAATGTTCAAAAGAGCAAAGGGTTAACGTCCCAGTGCTTTCCAAATTCCTTTAATCTCTGTATAATAAATACCCAAGAGACGACCAAGCACACACCAAAGTCTGATGTTTGGGGCACACGTGGCCAAGGAAACAGACCCTCACCTGCATCTTCTCAGACGCTCTGACCCTTCTTAAGATTCCAACTTCCTCGTCAAACCTCCCTGACTGCATTTTGCTGATGACGTGGAACCCAAAACTCAGATCACAAGTCAGATCTCTGGTTTAAGTTCTGCACTTTTGCCTCGAGAAGTGGCACCCACAAGCAGCATTTGAAAAGCATATTCCCCAAATATCACATGATGCCACTTACAGGTGGAATCTAATTTAAAAAAACGGCACAAATGAACTTATTTACAAAGCAGAAATGGACTCACAGATCGTAGAATCAAACTTCTAATTACTAACGGGGAAATGGTGGTGGGAGGGATAAATTAGGAGATTGGGATGAACATACATACACTACTGTGTATAGGATAACCAACAAGGTCCTACTGCATAGCACAGGGAACTCTACTCAATATTTTGTAATAACCTATGTAGGAAAACAGTCTGAAAAACAATGAATATATGTATAACTGATTCACTTGAGTGAATCAGGTGTGCACCTGAAACTAACAACATTGTAAACGAACTATGCTCCAATCGAAAGGAAAAAACTGGACTTCCCTGGTGATACGGTGGATAGGAATATGCCTGCCAAGGCAGGGGACACGGGTTCAATCCCTGGTCCAGGAAGATTTCACATGCCATGGAGCAACCAAGCCCATGTGCTGCAACCACTGAGTCCACGCAATTATTGACGCCCGTGTACCGAGAGCCTGTGTTCCACAATAAGAGAAGCCACTGCAATGAAGACTAGCCCCCTCACTCTCTGCAGCAAGAGAAAGCCCAAGCATAGCAATGAAGACCCAGCTGAACCAAAAAAAAATAATAATAATAATAAAAGAAAAGAAAAATAATCCTTAAAAAAGAAAAGCATCTTCCTGAAGAATGGGAGGAAGGTGAGGGTGGCTGGTTCTCCATGGTGGATTGTGGGCAACTCTTTTACATAACACACATGTATGTGCTTGCCCAGTTTCCTATGACAGTGATGGATCACTTCAGAATCAAGAAAGTGGTATGACAGTAATGGATCACTTCAGAATCAAGAAAGTGGTTACTGGTAAAACAAAAAAATGGAAATGTTCTTCCCAATAAGGTCTCTTAAAGCTCTTGGCCAAATAAGTGCTGGTTTTCAAACAAAGAGGGTCAGCGCCCTCAACTCACCTCAGCTTCGCCTGCCGGTCCAGCCCAGCCACTTTCCGCACCACCTGCTGGCAGAAGCCGTAGCACATGAAGAGGACAGAGTTCTCGGCGATGTTGGCGATGAGCGCGGGGCTGGTGCCCTTGTAGAAGCCCCAGAAGCCCGTTTGGGAGTAGGTCTTGAGGCAGCAGTCGGCGAGGCCCCGGTACAGGTTGGGGAACGTCTGCATCTTCACCTTCATGGTGTCGAAGGGCTGTCCGGTCAGGACACATGCTGTGCCCCCTGTAACCAGGACAGAGTCCTTGTCAGGCCCGAGTCCATGGGCGCGTGGCAGGGTACCGCCCCGGGGACCCTCGGAGATGAGGGATAGGCAGCCCACCCCCAGGCTAACCTCTGCGTCATCTTATTTGACCTCTTCCCCCACTAAGACCTTCTAGCCCAGTTCAGTAAAACTTCTAGGGGGTTCCCTGTGTGCCGGGTCCCCTGCCCAGCTCTGAAGGAGCTCACACTCAGCAGGGGAGAAGGACGTGTTCAACAATCAGAGCCCCTGATGTGAAGGTGGGACATGTGTTCAGGAGCATCACTCAGAGGCACCTGGGGTTGAAGCCTGATTCTGCTATGAGATCCAGGACAAGTGATGTGACTTCTGAGCCTCAGTTCCCTACCGAGATAGCATGAGGATTAGGATAAGGGTCTAACATTGTGGTTGCTACACAAGTGGTTAATTTATAGGGGTTAACTGTGTGTGCGTCCACATAAAAGGAAGGGGAGAGGAATGGTCTGGAAAGAGTTCATCACTCCTCTGTCTGTTGCCCCGTGGTCCTGATGACCATCAGAAAAATAACAGGAGACTAGGCCACAGAGAAAGAAAACAAAGAGCCTAGTTAGTCCCCAAAGAGCTAAATGTTTGACCCTATGGGAAAACCTCTTATCTGGACTCTGCCAATTAATGATTTGTATTCAGACAGGAACTGGATTGAAACTTACTTTGCTTAGCATACATATTTATATGCTTTTATTGTAGAAGGAGCATGCATGCATGCATGCATTGGAGAAGGAAATGGCAATCCACTCCAGTATTCTTGCCCGGAGAATCCCAAGGACAGAGGAGCCTGGTGGGCTGCTGTCTATGGGGTCACACAGAGTTGGACATGACTGAAGTGACTTAACAGCAGCAGCAGCATACGGTTAAGTGTATTAAATACAGCAAAATCTAAATTGCATTCAATTACAACTCTGACGTGAGGAAGAGAATGATCTATAAACCCTGCAACTCTTTGGAAAAGACCCTGATGCTGGGAAAAGTGTGAGGGCAAGAGGAGAAGGGGGCAACATAGGATGAAATGGTTAAAATGGCTGGATAGCACCACTGACTCAACAGACATGAGTTTGAGAAAACTCCAGGAGATAGTGAAGGATAGGGAAGCCTGGCGTGCTGCAGTCCATGGGGTCACAAATAGTCAGACACGACTTAGCAACCGAACAACAACATAAACCCTGTGCTATCCCCAGACCCTGGACCGGGTCAGCATTTGGGGAATTGTCCCTGGTGAACGCTTCCACCTCCCCTTGGGCCAGGACGTCCCCTACTTGTGCCAGGACACACAACCATTGGATGAGGTTATTAAAGCCTCTGCAACGTTAAAGAGAAGGCAAGCAACCTAGATGTCCATACACAGATGAATGGATAAAGAAGATGTGATACATATATACAATGGAATATTACTCAGCCATAAGAAGGAATGAAACTGAGTCATTTGCAGTGACGTGGATGAACCTAGAGAATGAAGCCAGAAAAACAAATACTGTGTATTAATGTGTATATATATGGACTCTAGAAAAATGGTACTGATGAACCTATTTGTAGGGCAGGAATAGAGACACAGATAGAGAACAGACTTGTGGACACAAGGAAGGTGAGGCAAATTGAGAGTGTAGCACTGATGTATATACACAACCATGTGTAAAAGAGACAGGTAGTGGGAAGCTGCTCATAGCTGGGAGCTCAGCTCGGTGCTCTGAGATGACCTGGGGGGTGGGACGGAGACTCAAGACGGAAGGGATATATGTATACATATGGCTGATTCATGTTGCTGTACAGCAGAAACGAATGACACTGTGAAGCAATTATCCTCCAATTTAAAGACAAAACCAACCGGAGAAGGCTGGCATGAAAGTATTTCAGAAATGTAATTTCACAACTTTGACATAATAAGTTACTCCAACTACGCTATGGAAAATAGAGATGGAGGGAGGGCTATTAGGAATAACTCCCAATTACTGGTAGATGAACATTTCCCAAGAGTCTGAAAACTGAACTATTAAGCAAGCACAGGTATGGTCTCCATGATCCTATCACCATTGTTCCTTCCTTCTAGGAGAGCAATGACACGTTTCTGCTTTTGTCCTGCCACACCATCATCTCACACCATCACCAGTCCTGAATTAGTGGAATATAATTTAATAAGATGTTACCATAATTAGAGTCATTCTCTCCCAGGTACTGATGGGCTAGAATGAAATAAGATCCTGCTGCTGCTAAGCCGCTTCAGTAGTGTCCAACTCTGTGCGACCCCATAGACGGCAGCCCACCAGGCTCCCCCGTCCCTGGGATTCTCCAGGCAAGAACACTGGAGTGGATTGCCATTTCCTTCTCCAATCCACGAAAGTGAACAGTGAAAGTGAAGTCGCTCAGTCGTGTCCGACTCTGTGACTCCATGGACTGCAGCCCACCAGGCTCCTCCATCCATGGGATTTTCCAGGCAAGAGTACTGGAGTGGGGTGCCATCGCTTCTCTATGTCAAAAATAATCATTTCAAAAGAAGAGGTGAATGTCAGAATTTTTAAAGCAGGTTCATAATCTTGACAGCCTAGATGGGGCAACATGGAATAAAGCATTTAATTCAGAGCATTAAAATTCTATCCTAACAAGGAGTTTCCTATATTTTCACCCAACCATCCTGAACAACACAGACATCTGGGTTGCCACAGTACCCATTTGCTGCTTATCTATAAGTTTCCATCTCCAACAGGGAGAAAATAGGAGGCTGATGTACTTCCAATGCTACCTACAATTCTCTCCCTTCTTCCATGGATGCAAGCTAACTTCCTATGTAACTTGTGGCTGTTTAGTCTCTCAGTCACGTCCACTTCTTTTGCGACCCGGTGGACTGTAGCCCGCCAGGCTCCTCTATCCGTGGGATTTTCCAGCAAGAATACTGGAGTGGGTTGCCACTGCTTTCTCCAGGGGATCCTCCTGACTCAGGGATCAAACTCTCATCTCTGCCTCTTCTGCACTGCAGGCAGATTCTGTACCACTGAGCCCCCAGGGAAGCCCAGACAAATGACACCGTCATGGCGCTCATCACGCCCTGCTCAAGGAGGTGATAACTATTCCAAACACCAGCACTAATCCAAGACCAAGACGGTCCTCAGACCGTGAGTCTACAAAGCCATGAATAATTTACAGGAATCCTCTCTTTCCCTACTTGCCTAGAGCTCACACCTCTGATCATCTTGCTCTCCGTAAGAAACAGGAGGGGGTTCCTCCAATCAAAAAAAATTAATAATTTTTAAAAGTTCATTAAAAAAAAAAAAGAAAAGAAACAAAGGGGGACTTCCCTGGCAGTCCAGTGGTTGAGATTTCAAGGCACAATGTGATCCCTAGTCAGGCAACTAAGCCCACAGGTCACAACTAGAGAAGCCTGTGTGCTTCAATGAAGACTCAGCATAGCCCCCCAAAAAAGAAAACAAAGGGGCCCATTCTCCGCACTTTTGTGTTGCCACCTACATCTTCTCAAGGTTGCGGCTGTGGATTTCAGTCCTCCACACAGTGGAGCCAGCAGGTGACAGACTGGAGGAAATCCACCAGGGCTGGGACGGTAATGGCAGTGATGGACATGCTCATGGAGGGCCTTGGTGGACATGGAGAACGGACCCTCACCCGGAAGGACCTGGCCACCTGCCCACCCACGCAGAAAGGACAGCCTCCAACCCACTGGAGGCAGTCAGTCCGTGTTCCCCTTAGTGGTGCAGACAGGCATGTCATTTTCAAAATATTCCAACCAAAAAGTTCTTTTGGTTTGTGGTTAATTTTGGCATTTGAAAGGATAAATCTCAATGATCTAAAAATGCCACATTTTGGGGACTTCCCTGGCAGTCCAGTTGTTAGGACTTCCTAACTCAGACGGTGAAGAATCTGCCTGCAATGCAGGAGACTGGGGTTCGATCCCTAGGTCAGAAAGATCCCCTGGAGGAGGGAATGGCTACCCATTCCAGGATTCTTGCCTGAAGATTCCCATGGACAGAGGAGCCGGGAGGGCTACAGCCCATGGGGTCGCAAAGAGTCGGGCACTCAAGACTGAATGACTAACGCCATTTACAACAGGTGGTGTGGCTTCCATCCCTTGTTGGGGAACTAGGATCCCACATGCCAAAAGATAAAATAAAATGCCACTTTCCCAACTACTTAAGCAAGGCACATTGCAACAGAGCAGTCTGGGGAAAGAATGCATCATTTTATGTTGATAGTTGTGAAGCTACTAAACCTTCATGTGCCACTAAGGTTTCCCTTTAAGGGGATTTAACTTTTGAGATCCAATTACCTAACCAACTGCCTTCAAATCCTCCCCAACCAGCTGCCTGGGCCTCTTGATCCTTTCCTGGCATCGCTCCTACAGCAGCTTCAGACACGGAAGCTTCGCTTTAGGGTAGACGAGCTGGCCTGAAACCCTGCTTGATGGAGGAGGTTTGTCTAGAAGACACACACGCCGGAGAACACCGGGATGCTACACCCACATCACCAACCACGGCTGCCTGTGCTCTCACACATGTCGCTTCCATGGTGGGCCATGTCCACAGAGCGCTAGGGGTCCTCTGCTCCTGGCAACGGCCACAGAAAAATCCCAAAGCCCACCAGTTTCCCCATCCAGAGAGCTGGGGCGGTGAAGCCTCCAAAGGAATCCCCATCTCTGGGGGACGCTGTTGGCCATCATGCAGCAGCAGAACAAAGATGACAGAACGGGACAAGGAACCAGGCAGCCAAGGTCCTCACCCTGTCTTTATTTGCACCATCTATTAACAGCTGTGCAGCCTTGAACAAATCCACTATTGCTCCCTGGGTCCCTTTTCTACACATACAAGAGCATTAGAGTCAAGGGTCTCTAAAGGCCCTTCTAGCTCCATCACTCAAAGGCTGAGACCTCTCAAAAATGGGACAGCTGCTTCCCCTTCATACGGGGGGAGTTCTCAGGTCACCCCGAGGGACCTCCTCTGCCTGGTGTCTCACAGGCTTAGCACCCAGGAAGCCTGCTGACCTCAGATGTCAAGACAACCAGGGTGGTATTACATCAGTGAGGGGTGACCCTGGGTTTGCAGTGCAGGAAGGAACACCTACCCACAGTTAGCAGAAAAAATAAATGCTAGTATGTATAAGGGCCTGATACATGTTAACACCACTGTAAAAAAGCACAAGTACTGGCAAATGCCTTACCCAGCCAGGTTCCTGACAATATTGTTGCAATTTACATCTTTAAATATAACTATATGGGCCTGATACATGTTAAAAAAAAAAAAAAAAGCACGTGTACTGGCAAATGCCTTACACAGCCAGACTCTGGACAATATTGTTGCAATGTACATCTTTACAGATTACTATTATGGATGCAGATACAGTTAGGAATGCAGTACTCAAATGCCTGTCCTGTCCTTTCCAGGGAAAGCAAAAATGCTTTAATTCTATTACAACAGCTCTTTCATCTTTGACAGACTGACTGAAAAAGACACAGAATCCCAAAAACTGAGCTTCCCCCATGGGGTGAAACGCACTCCTACTGCAGAGACACGAACTGAGCACAGACACTCACAGGGGGGCATGAGGCAGGCAGAGGCAGGCAGCTGGGCCCATGGTTGCCAAAGTCAGCGTCCTCTGCCAGCAAATGACACGGGGCAGGGGTTAAAGGGACAGAGAGGGGACAGTGCGCAGGGCCGGGGGTGGGGGGGGGGCTCAATCCCGCGGCACTCAGCATGAGAGAGGCCACGGGATGGAACCCAGGCAGCCCTTAGTCCCCCCACCCTCCTCCAGCACCGCACCCCGCTCCTCCTCGTGGTCTCTGACCTGGGAGCGCCCCTGCCTGCACCTCTTATCAGCCTGCAGTGTACTGTCTCCAGACTTCCTCATGAGCCTACTTTGGCCCATGTCTGGTTCATGGAAAAATACCATGAGCTTCCCTGAACCCCTGATTTCTTTTTCACGACTAAGGCAACAGGATGAGAGCAGGCGGCCCTCTGACTGCCCTTCATCTGCTGACCCGGGAGGCCCCCCCAGATAAGAGGACGAGGGGTAACCCACTCCCCTGGCCTCTCCGCCCCAGGAAGCAGTGACAAGATTCGGTGAGGGAGGCGAGGAGCAGTCAGAGTTTCCACTGGGAAAGTGGTAGGCATTCCAGCGCTTCTCCGGCCATAAAATCATCAGGAATCCGAAGCAGCAGTCATTGGTCAGGCACTTGGAATTCTGTCATCTGCCTCTCACTGAGTAAAGGCTGCCTTTCTGAAGAGTGGCTTGCGTGGCAGGCGCGGCCCAGAGCTTGCCGGTGCCTGGGAGGCGAGTTGTTGGGGCGTGGGGGCCAGAGTCTACCCTGGCACTCACCCCATCCACCACTCCCCGGCTAGGCCTCTCCTTTCCTTTCAGGGCTTTAAGACACAGTCAAAAGCCAGTCTTCTTCACCGAAAACATTTCTAAGGGTTTCCTTGCTCTCCTGAGCAACAGTAAAGACAGTCTCTGGGGTTTCCCTGGAGAAATGGTGCAGCGTTACTTCTGCCCACAAGGGCTCTCGAGATTGCCAGGCTAGGAGTAGAATCCTGTGCATCCCAACCACGCGGCAATGGAACATGTGGCTTCAGCTCTGAGCTGTGATCTCACAGGCTTCCAGCTGTGAACCAGGGACATTCCCACCCTTTACCCTGACTGCTAGTTGGTTTACTTTTTGTCTTTTTATTTTTGTCAATTAAAAAACTTTTTAAATTGGAGGATAAACGCTTCACAGTATTCTGTTGGCTTCTGCTATACATCAATATGAATCAGCCATAGGCATACATGTCCCCGTCCTCTTGAAACTCTCTCCACCCCATCCCACTCCTCCAAGTTGTCACATAGGACCGGGTTGAGCTCCCTGCATCATACAGCCAATTCCCACCGGCTATCTATTTTACATATGATGATGGATATGTTTCCAGGCTGTTCTCTCAAAGTGTCCCACCGTCTCCTTCCCTCATTGTGTCCACAAGCCTGTTCTCTGTCTGCTTCTCCACTGCTGCCCTGCAAAAAGGTTGGTCATCAGTACCATCTTTCTAGATTCCATATATGTATATATGCGTTAATATATATTTTTCTCTTTCTGAATTACTTCACTCTGTATAATAGGCTCTAGTTCATCTACCTTGTTAGGACTCACTCAAATGTGTTCTTTTTTACAGCTGAGTATCATTCCATTGTATATATGTAAGCCTACCTTCTGCTATACTTGCAACACAGTATTACACTCCCATTAAGCAGTTTCATTACAAGGTCCTGGAGTGACAGAGACAATGTGCTCACTGGATCTCATTCGCAGAAGGTACTTGAGGATCAGAGAATGGGGTTTTCTCTGGCCTTACCTGCGGCCCCAGCCGTGAGGTCGATGGCAGCTTGGATGGCAGGGTTGGATTTCATATTCTCCTGCTCCTCTGCTGGGCTCCGTGGAGGGTGACTCTCTGGAGCTTATGATGGGCACCTCACATCCCTGGGAGGAAGCCAGAGCTCACCGTCAGTCGGGGCTCTGCAGCTGCCCTTTCTCTAGGCCTGCTGCCCAGCTACTGCACTTGAACCTCACGCAACTGGGAAACTGGCTCTGCGTGGCTCCAGAGGAGGGGGCTAAGGGGGTCAGAGCAGCTCAGTCATCAGCCTCCCCTTCTCCCCACCCACCACCTCCCCATAAAAAGCACCGAGATTGAAAACCTTGCCTGAGTATCACTGCTCCAACAACAGGTGAGGGCACTTCAACCAACTTTTCTGAAACTCTCAGAAACAAAGGCCAAACAAGCAAGCCAAGCAGACATCACAAGCCCCATCAAACCAGTTTTTCAGAGGCCTGGGTTGCTCTCTCAATCCACTAGGTTCTGTTCCAAATTCAGATAGCAGCCTGAGAACCTGAGAGAATGCCACAAAACAGGAGGTCTGAAAAGTAATGAGTTAGGAGCTCTGCCAAGTGACACCTGCCTGGGTCTGAATGCCTGCTCTGCCACCAGTATGGGGGCCCCTTGGGCCCCTAAAGCTGGAGGTCCCTGTCTACACAAGGTCTCGGTCTATATTATCATAATCTGAGAGCAATCAGAAATGGCCACAGCGGACAATACAATGATAAACTGAATACGCACCAGGAGTTCTTAGAACTACAAAACATTAGCACCAAATATTCTTGTCATCAGGCTTCCCTCCAGAGCTTCTCAACACAAATGTGCACACAGATCACCTGGGGACTTTATTAAAAGGCTCATTCTGATGTGATTGGTTTCAAATGGGACCAGAAATGCTGCCTGCCTGGACTGCTCCTAGGTGAAGTTTATAATGCCTGGTATTACCCATATTAATAGCAACACCTGGTCCATTGTCCCCCAAATTTGCTAGATAAGAATCACCTGGGACACTTGTTAAATATTCAAATAACCAGGCCAATCTCCTGGTGATCTTGATTCAGTAGGTTTGAGCTGAAGTCTAGAAGTTTGGGGAAAACCAGATCTACTTTTCTACCTTTAGACCAAAAAAAAAAAAAAAAAAAATCAACCGCTGCCATGGCAAGGACTTAAATAAATATTGACTAGAAAAAAGGAGGTGGTTCTTTAACAGAATATTCTTACGTGTGAATAACAAGGAACACTTTTTAACCATCACACCTAAGACATCACACCCGGTCAGGCCACCTCTCAGAGGGGGTGGGTGGGCTGGATGCTCCATGAATACCAACATCACCCTAATCACCAGCAGAAAATAATTTTAGCCACCAAGAAGTTTTTCAGCCACTTAAAGTATGTTGTCAATGACCAGACACCAAGAATCTCGCTTTAAAAAAAGTTTTAAAACTAACAACAACAAAAGTACAGCACTTTATAAAGCAATTAACTCAGACGTAAAAACCACCAACTTTATGTTACCTATAGGCCTGGAAGGGCAGTGCCAATTACTAATGTTGATACGACGGGGACCATCCAGTATCGAGAGAAGGATATCAGGGTCCTAATCCAATCTCCTCCTTTTCCAAATGGAAAAACTGAGGCCAGAGGACAGCAACAGCTCATCCAAAGTCACACCAGTCTGCGCAGACAGCATTCAACCCAAGTCTAGCCTTTTGGGTCTGTGCTTATCGACCAATATTTAATTCCAGAGGATTCCCACCTGGTCAAAAGGAGAAAACAAAGCCCTCAACCCTGCATTTTAGAGGGAAAAGGAGCCACAGATGGGGCGCATCCAAAGGGTTCATTTGCCGGGGGTGGGGGGCGGGAGGGTACATTTCTCCCTTAGAAAGAAAGGGGCATAGCAGATGGCACTATGTCATCAACGCGAATTTAACCCTTTTAGGCAAGTCAACTTAACTGCACATAACTGCTTATAGAATTATTAGGACTGTTAACAGTGATGGGAACTGAGATTAACTCAGAAGATATGAGCAACTGTTTCAAACTATGCGTGACTTTGGCTTGAGGAAGACATATGGTTTGAGGGCGGCAGGACTGATCAACCTGAGAGACTAATTCATGAGCCTTCGGTACCAACAGAAACAGAAAAACTGAACCTTGCGCCGTCCCTTTATCCTTTCAAACTACACCGGAGTCCCACTCCAGAAGACCATGTATATTCCCCATTCCTCGGGGAAATTTGTTTCTCGTGCGAGAGAATCCGAGGACCCCTGCCTTCCCCCACCAGATCACAGCTTAGGGAAGATTCCAGCTTCAGGCCGAAGCTGGGGTGACGGGAGGCCGCCCGCCATCAGAGCGCCCAGAGAGGGGCGCCCCACGGGCGCAAGGATGCAAACCAGTCTCGCCGCTTAGCAGCCGAGAGACCGGAGCTCCGGCGTCAGGGGCTCGGGATCCCGGTCCGCCCAAAGGGGTAGCTTAGGGAGACGACTTCCAACTTCTTCCCGACTCTAAACGCCCGCTGACTCTGCCCAGCAACCAGCCCGAGCCTCCCATTCATACGCGCCTCCGCCCTGCCCGGCGCCGCGCGGAGCCAGGAGGCTGGATGACATGACCAGGGGGGCAAAGGAGGACAACCTTTCCCGGGCGGTGACGGCGGCGCGCAGGAGGCCGCGGGGCCCGAGGGTCTACGGGGAAGTCCAGGGCCGAGCGCGGGAAAGGGGCGCCCGCGGGATCCCTGGGCACGTGGGCGGCGCGTGTGGGCCCGGGGACTCCGGATCCCCGCCGCCCGGGAAGGTCACGCCGTCCGGGCGCCGAGGTCTGCCCACTCCCCGCTCCCTCCCGACTGGTTCCCCGCAGCCGCGAGCGCCTGACCGGGCTGCGCTCACCACCGCGTCCTGCTCGCGCTCCGCCGCCCGCTCTCGGCTCTGGATCGGCGGCGAGGGGGGGTGCCGCTTAACACCCACGTCGGCCGCAGCCCAGCCCTCCAGCCCCGCCTTCCGCGTCCGATTGCCGCCGGCGGGCGGCCCCCGGGGCTTCGGCGCGGCGCGGCGGCGCGCTTGGGCTCCGGGACCGCCGGGGGCCGCTAGCGGGGCGGGAGGGCCGGCCGGGAGCCAGGGCTTCCACGTCGCTTTGCTGCCGGCTCGGTTCCTGGAGGCCCGCGGTGAGCTCGTATCTAGCTCGATCTCAGGGCGGGGGCTGGGGGTACCCGGAGTTAGACGAGTGACTGAAGTCTGCAGGATGTTGACTTGGCTGGGACTCGGGGCTCAGGCCTTCATTTTGTTATAATTGAGCCCCAAAGTGCTGAAATAGTAGTGATGAAAAATACATTCGTTTATTGCCGGTAAAAACAAAACCCCAAACATTTCCCATTCCGCCTTCCAAGAGGAAACCTACACCGATGACATTTGGGGAAAGCACACCCACCAGTGAAAACTATTAACTCTTTGTCTTTTTAAAGAATAGTTTCCAATGGGTGTCGCAGTAAAGAATCCGCCTGCAATGAAGGGGACCTGGGTTCCATCCCTAGGTTGGGAAGATCCGCTGGAGGAGGGCATGGCAACCCACTCCAATGTTCTTGCAAGGAGAATTCCATGGACAGAGGAGCCTGGCTGAGTACAGTCCATGGGGGCAAAGAGTCGGACACGACTGAGCGACTAAGCGCATAACTAAGCACAATGAATTATAGACTAGTTTTGCACGTCTCTGGCATTTTATTAAAAAGCACAGTTCAAGGTTTCTGTTGTGCATGGGGAGTAAAGGAATTTTCTCTAGTGTCCCAGGCAAAGACTCACTCATTTGGGAGGGTGTTGATTTGTGACTCACAGCTGTTCCATTAACAGTCATGGTCTTGGTGCTTTGGTTCAGACGTCATGAATTCATTTTCCTTTCCTACACCTTGTTTTCTTCTTTAAACTGTGCTATCATTTTTCTTTTACATCTCTGCCCTGTCTGAATGTGGTGTTGGACTACTGCCAGTGTAACTTAAGTGATTTTTGGTGACCGCGTCCTAACTGTTAAGTTGCTTCAGTCGTGTCTCTTTGTGACCCCATGGACTATAGCCCGCCAGGCTCCTCTGTCCATGGGATTCTCCAGGCAAGAATACCGGAGTGGGTTGCCATTTCCTTCTCCAGGGGATCTTCCCAACCCAGGCATCGAACCCATGTCTCTTATGGGTTCTCTTATGTCTCTTATGCTGCATTGGAGGCAGGTTCTTTACCACTAGCGCCACCTGGGACGCCTGATTTATTTATTTTTTTTTTTTGGTGAGGGCCAGTGACAAATATTTGAGGTGACTTGTGTTAGGGCTTCCCAGGTGACTCAGTGGGTAAAGGATCAGCTTGCAACTCAGGAGATGGGTTCGATCTCTGGCTCCAGAAGATCCCCTGTAGGAGGAAATGGCAACCCACTCCAGTGTTCTTGCCTGGAGAATCCCATGAACAGAGACTGGTGAGCTACAGTCCATAGATTCACAAAGAGTTGGATACAACTGAGTGACTGAATACATGTTAATGCTTAAACATGAATGCCCAGCTGAATAGACCTGAGCGGGGGCTGGTGAGGAAGTGCTGTGAGGGTGTCAGACCTCCTGATACATGCGTGGGAGCCCTTCTCAATGCAGCACAAAACCATTATCTTCTCACAGAATCAGCACTTTAGAACTCAAGCTTCTGGAGCATAATTTAATTACAGAAACAAGCCAGGGCATTTGAGCGACTTGCCCAGTGACATGCAGCATAACCAGTGAGAAGAACCTTCAGTATAATGTCCTAAAGGACTGGCACTTTCTGTGGCACCTGGCCTGGTGGCTTTTGCAAACCAGAAATATGAGGCCCAAAGGAGCTAACTAGAGGCAGGCTTAGACCTCCTGTTACAGATTAGAAAGAGCCCCGGACTTGGAGCAAGGACACTTGTGTTAAAATCTCCATGACCTTTAGTGAGTCATTAACCTTTCTAAACCTCAGCTATCACATGGCAGCATCGTGGCCTCCTTTGAATTCCGCTGCTGTGGGAGCCTGCAGTAGCAATCCAGCATGGAGGGTAGGTGGGCGGTGGTGCTGCCACTCCAGATCAGGGTCTCCTGGCATTTTGTCCTGTCTTGCTTTAGCACCTTAACTCTCATCACTCTCCCCAAGGTTTTCACATTTCTTCTCTCTCTCACCTCTCCTTCACCACCCTCAGCCTCAATTCTGTAAACCAAGAAGCAATCAGGAAACTTCGGTGCAAGTTTTTAACCTCTCATCTACACAGTTGCCTTTTTGCACAAACTCTCACCTGTTTTCTTCTCCACTTGCTGTCTTGCTTACTACCCCATGGCCGGGGAAATGATGCAGGTGAAGAAACTGAGGCCTAGAGGGGTCAAGTGACTTACCTGATGTTGTCCAGTTACTAAGAGGAGAGCTGGGACTCAGTTCATATTGTTAACTGCTGCCTTCTACAGTAATACCTCCCAGAAGGCCTCCTCTGAAAAGCAAGAGGGTTGCAGAAACCCTTTCTCCTGGAAAGAGCTCCATAATACCTCCCTTCATAAAGTTTTATTAAAAATCACCTCTTACAGTGGTGGCCCTATATGCTATCTTTGCTTTAGGGATAGAGACATATGTAGATGTGAAAAGGTTTAACATCTCCCAGGAGCTCAGAGAACGGATTGAAAAATCACCTGACTGCCATTAAATCATAAAATCATCCTCCTAAGGGTTCTTCCCCAGAGACCTATTGGCCTCTTGAGAAGAGAGTTTTGGAGTCATGCATCACTGCTCTCTGTAGAGGTTAGTCAACCCCATGGTATTTCAAATCCAGGTTCAAAACAGCAACGAAGTCAATGCACTGACCTCTTTGCTCCAGGCATCTGTGTGCAGCACTTGGGATTGCATAATCCAGGGACATCAGTGCAGCTGGCTCTGGGGTGAGAGGGCAGGTATGACGCAGGTCAGAGGTGAGGCGACAGACAGAGTGGCTACATGGAAAAGGCAGCTTCTGCTGTTTCAACAGAATTTCACAATGTGCTGGTTAATGATACTAAAAGAAGAAATAATTTCACCACTTGAAGCCTTTGGGCCCTGATACCATGTGTGTGTGTTTTAACAAAGTGTTAATTGAAGCTGCAAATAATTCAGAAACATAAATTATCTCTCATTCAAGGGTACCTTTTGTTAATGAGAAAGAAGAAAATTCTTTGATCACACAATTTTAACTCACATTGAATATTTTTGGCTGCTGATGTAAATTTTATTGAAAACCGTCAAATTTTTTTTGGATCAGATAGAATCTGTATTTGAAATAAATATGTTTGGATTTCTATAAGTGTGGTAAAGGAGGGAAATTTGTGTCCTGTGAAAGCATTGTTAGGGCAATGTTTTAAAGGGGGACAATTTTTGTATTTATCTTTTTCTTGGCAGTTTTTTAATGGTATAAGCAAAAATAAGAAAATCAGCTAAGATACATGTTTTAAGAGCCTTAGGTTTGAATTGGTAAAATATATGTTAAAAATGAAAGATAATTTATTATAGCAAAGAATGAGGAGAAATGCCCCTAAATGGTTAAACTTTAATGGGTTATCAATAAGAGGAAATAATTGCCATAATTTAAAAAATCATATTCTCATATATGTTTTAGTACATATTTGGCTACAAGTAATAAAATGTCCAGCTGTCAGTACATTTACTTTGAATATAAAAATATTTCTAGAGATAGGAAGTTCTAGGATTGGTTAATTTAACAACTCAAAAGCATCTGGATCCACTTCTATATTTGTCTTTTCTTTTCCTCATGATCTCAAAATGGCTGCCACAGCTCTGCCTATCACATTTTCACACACAACATCCAAAGACAGGAAGCATTCTCCCATACCAACTTTTTATCAGAGAAAAAAAATTTTTTCCTAGAAGCCCTCTGTCAAACTTCTCCTTATATTTCATTGGCCTGGAACTGGGTCTCATGCTACCCCAAACATAAACATTGGGAAGAGAATGAAGTTACCATGATTGATATAAAACAGGTTTCAGTAAACTTCTGAAAAGGACCAGCTAATAAATATTGGGTTAGTCAAAAGAGTTTGTTTGGGTTATCCAAATATTTAAAAAAGAAAGAAAGAGACAATGGCAAGCTTCAAAGAGCCGTCAGTCCAAGCAGAAGAGGAAAAAACAAATAATTCAGGGAAGGTGTGAGGGTGGCATCTCAGAGAAGGGCATGAATAGAAGATGAAAAAGAGAATCTCAGGGGAGGCCTCTAGGAGACCCCCCATCGGGGTATATTTTGAAAGGCAAAGTGGTCTTTTTTAAGAAGATGAAAAGTCTGCTGATATAGCACTCAGGGCTCTTAGAGTCAGCAGAAGCTAACTCTACCTGACAGAGCAAAATAGCAGCCAGTTAAAAAGATTCTGGGTGACTCTCCTGACCGCTGAATGGGGAGATGATACTCCCCGAGGCTTGGAAACAAGTCCTCAAACCCACTGCAGAGCAGGTCAGCCGTGGAAACCATGCTGCAGTTCCTTAAGAGCTCTAGATGTTATGGTTGGTTCCACTGTCCCATCTGATGGTATAGTTTGTCCCCGTGATCCATCTACGTCAGGGCCTCAGCCTTCTTGCTACCGCTTTTCCAAAGCGAGCATCTTCTTTCCCAGATTTGCCTGATAAGCCACTGCCACACCCTGTCCGTGGCCTCCCGTTTCTCATTTCCAAGTGGGTTTCCTCCTTTGGGTGCAGCTGATGGTTGGAGCCTGGGTCACGTGTCTGGACCCCGATCTGTAAAAGGGGGCTGGGAACGTGGTGGTTTTCTGGCTTCTGTCTTAGAGAGGAGAGACCCACTTATTAGAAAATGCTTTGAATGTAGGCAGGGTTTTCAAACGATTTCAAGTAGCCAGAAAACATGACACATGCCGGCTCTAGATGGGCTGAGCAT